CATTATAGTTTAATCTACCTATACCTTAAAGGAATTTCTGTATTTGTGTCCTTTTCTGATCTGCTTCAGCGTCAGTGGGTGTATTTTTGGTGACCGAAAGAAACGCAGTGACAATTTTAAAGCCGATTGGACGAACAGTGGTTGTGTATTTGGTCTTTTCCTGTCCGCCTGGCCTTTGACTGGCTGTGGGTGAGGGCCCTGCTGCGAGGAATTATCGTCAATAGCAAATGTATGACGTCATAGATCACAGGCAAGAGTTTAGAAGGAGTCTCTGTCTGCAAACTCTGTCTGTACCACATCTGTCCGTGCACATCAGAATTTAACCAGCTGGCTCTGCACCAGAACTATTCCAAACTCAAATGGCCAGACTTTTTTCAGGCCATATCTGACAGCTGTGGTAGTAGCAAGATGTTGTTCTATGGTTTTATAATTCAGATGCACAGTGTGTCGCAGTCTGACTGTGCGTGCTAATATGTCGCCAAAGTAGATTGTAGCTGTGGATGCTGAAGCTAATGCAAATCACTTAACACCAAATCCAGAGGAGCTTCATCATTTTATTCCCGCTGTGATGCCGGAACGGTGAGCGACAACAAAGAAAGGGCCGGTGCTATCAATCCTCTTATTATTTATCATAATTACATAATGAACAAGTGCTGTTATGTTATTGTTCCGGGTATGTTTTCAAATTTCAAATCTGAGCCGGCTCACTGGGCTTATCTGAGAAGTCGGAAATGAATCAAACATCACATTCAACCATCAAAACTCATTTTTCTGTTCAGGAATACAAGTAAATAACTATAATTTGACATCTTTATCAAGAAATAATAATAATGTGCTTTACTATTTTTTAAGTTTTGTGTAAGACAGTAAATTAGAAAATTCATGGATAACAGTAATAATTGTATTTTAGCATAAAAATATCATTTTGGTTAAAGAGCTTCTACATACTGGTGTATTAACCATCACAGAAACATAAGAAATGATTTTAGTAATTACAAATGCTGTTAATTTAGGGCAGATGTGGCATAAACCTGACACTGGGTGGTGGTCTCATAAATAATAAAGCACTGTATACATTATTAAATAGTTAAATTTTTACATTCACGTCGAGCGTTGCCTTAAAGGTTTGTTATCCTTGAACAGAAAACTTTTTTTGCTGATAACTACATCATCACTGAATAAGTCGTAGATGTTCAGAGAATATTATTTGGCTATTTGTGACGCCGTGTATCCATGCAATTCAAAGATATTGCTGCGTTTTGTTTGGTCGCAGATTTGCTACAGTTACGAAGCGCTCGGTACTGATTTTGCAGATAAGCTCATTGTGGTGCTCATACAGTGGGAAACATTATGGCTGCCTTCTCTAAACAGCATGACGGACACTTATCCAGGCATGGAAACGACTAAAATCTGATTTCTGCTGCTTTTTTCATACTGTGTAGATGCCCCGACATTGACATAGACTAGAAGAAACACAGAAAGTTGATTTTAGTTTTTGCCTTCACTTCGACCAACAAGACGGTCTCACACATAGACTCAGTGTGTGAGAGAGATAAACGTTGACAGTGTCAGAAGAGAAGAAACAGACCACATGGAGACGAGTTGGGAGGACGAGGAGAGTAGCAATGAGAGAAATAAGTGTTAGGATAGATGTGTGTTTGCTTGACCCGTGTTTAAACAAAGACCAAAGGCACACCTTCGTACACGCAAGCCAACATTTAGCCTGTGTAAAGTGGGTTTTACTCAGTGACCTCTTAGAACTGTTTACGAGACATCTTGATTTTCTTCCCGAGATCATTTAAAGTTAGAGCTCACGACCCCGGAGAAAAAAGACACGAACAGAGGAAGTGACAAATGCGACAGCCTCTCAGTTTGTAACCAAAAAACAAAGAGGAACCAGTCCACTTGGCCACAACTCACAGATAGATTGTTCACAGTGTTTATAGCTGACAATGGCGCACGGCGAGCGCTGCCAAGGTATTATTATATGCGAGCGTGTGTGTCCTTGGGTTTACAATGTCCCGATCGGGAACAATACATCGCTAGAGACAACTATGTACATAGCAGATAGAAAGGCATTTGTTGTGAGCTTCTTGATGAATAGAATTGTAATTATTTGAATGTTTGTGGTCGTCGCTGATAGAAGCTCCAACAAAAGGGGTAAAAGATGTCTCGGCTGCAGTTTGGTCCACAAAGCCAAGTTGGTGGATTCATTCGCTCGAAGGAGAAAATGTAAAGATCATGTCATGTGCTGTTGTGGCCTTCATCATCCTGGTGATGTGTGAATGCATATTTGATAGAGGAGAGACGCAAAGGCAACACGGATCAATGCCACTTTTTTTTTTACTTCTGTCTGGTAAAAATCAGTTTGTTCTTTATCCTTCCACTGTGCTCAGCTGTAAACAGTGAGACCTGTTGCCCTTTGAAGGAGCTGTCAAACAATCCAAATTAATCCCTCGCGTTAACACTCGTTAACGGATTTTTCAGAGATGGCCATAAACACACATTGACATTAGATTAAGCTGTTCTCTGCAGGAAACCGGTGGGGTAGTCCCTCTGGGCTTGGGGGGGTGAGTTGCTCTATACTCCAACCCTCATGAGCTCTGGGGCAGTAAAAGAAAGAATTAGATTGCGGATACAAAATGAATTTTCTCCCCAGGTTGAGGAGCTTGCACATCTGGAGGCAGTTTGGAGGAGAGTCAACAGTCCTTAGTGTCACAATTTAGGAATTTATTGAAAGAATAGCCCCTTGATATATAGCATCTAATTAAGATACCTCCCAGGTGGAGGTTTTCTGGGCACATCCAAGTGGGAGGACACCCCTGGGTAGAACTAGCTGGAGGATGTACATATCCCATCCGGCCTGGGAGCATCTTGGGATCTCCCACATTTAACTGGAAAGGGGAGCTGGATGAAAATATACTTTTCACCCCTGTATTCATGACAGAGAAGCAGCATAAATACACCACAATTAAAGGAAACCTACCACTTATTTTTAGACCTGCTTGTTGCTGACATTTTGAGATGCAGAACCAAGACGAGCAAGATCTCAGGGGAAGACACTCCTGAATGCCTTGGGATCTCCCTGGAAGAACTGGAAATCTGTTGAAATGTAAAGATAAAATATCGGGGCTATGTCCTCTTTACTCCTCTACCGCTCTGTGTGAGAAAGAGCAGGTAGAAAAGAAAGTCCAAACATACAATGATGAGTGTTTTTTTCTTCTTCTTGCTATTCAAAGCACTGGTCGCCAAAAACCCTCACACCCTTGACGCACAACATTTCCTACGATTTCTGTCTTGTTAATTTTTCCATCTCTCTTACTCTCAGCTGTCAAAATGTTTTCATTACTCTGGCCTCAAAGAAGAGCTTCTTGGAACTGAAATGTATATTATCTTCACAGTCGTAGACGTATTTGTCCTGCAGTTTAACATGAAAACACTTAAATATTCAAAACCCTGATGTAATTTTATCACGTGTTAATATGAATTCTAAATTATGGAGAGTAATCTATGGAAATAAAACAGGCTTCACAGTGATTATTGCCAAAACAAAGCAAGGTTGAAGCTCAGTGGCTCCTTTGCCTTCATCTACAAAGCAAATGTAGACTGATCATTTCTTTGTTATGGTAACGTACAGCACCACATCTCATGAGAAGCCAAAGAATCTAAGTATGTGTGCGACATTTAAATATTAAATAACTAGACTGAATATGGAAAAGAACATTTCAGATATCCACGTCGTCATTCTTCCAGGGCGACTAGTATTACTCCAATTTAGATTTCTCCAGTTTAACTCTTAATTCTCAAAATATCTTCAAGTCCCTTTAACTCATACAATCTCCATCGTGCTTTTAAGATATCTTGAATTATGTTTTAACCAGTCAAACAGATATCTCAAACTAGAATTCTACCGACTCAGAATGTAATTACAGATATCTAGAGGTGGAGTTTTGAATGATATTGCTGATATCTGCAGATGCACCAGAAGCCAATGCAAGCGTAACATGGAAATGCAATTCAAACTTTGCATTGCACTGCAACCGTAACTGCATGTGGCGATCGCTTTACTGCCAGCCTGGAGCTGAGCTTCTCGTTAACTGCGACCACAAGTGTCTAATAAACAAAGAGCTCGTAAGATTTTAAATGCTTCTGCTGGACCAGTTTTCACCAGAGATGTCTTAAACTATTATTTTTACTAGTCAACAATTACAGATATGTCTCCAACTGTTGCTCAAAAAAAAGACATGATAGATATCTGGAATAAAGATTATTAATCAAACTGACATTGTTGATTTCTGTAATTTTACTTCTGGACAGTCAAACTAAGCCACTAACTGTTAACAGCTTGTCATAAAACCATGCATCCAATGCTCAACAAGCCGGTGCAGTGTCGAGTTTGAAGCTGCTTTGACGAATATTAGCATCAAAGCCAATAATATAATAACCTCTGAAAGCAAAGGCAAGATTGTAGTTTGTTAGATCACCGCACTGATCAAAGTCGTCACTGCTTTGCTACAGTTCTGTGTTTCATTAAGACCTGAAAGTCCGACATCATGATCGCCAAATAACCACGAAAAATGGCATTCTACCAGATTTAAAGAACACAGGTGTCATTTTACCATCAACTGGACACTTTGGTCTATACGTGTTGGTTTTCAGAGGCTTCACTGGCTGCCTCATTAAAGATGAAACACGACAGGGAACTTGCTGCCCTTTTGCCCCAAAGCAATAATAAACTCGCATCTGTTTTCTCCGACCCCGAGTGGACGGCGGAGAGGAATGACCGCTGGAGCACCAACTTCCTGTCCCGATAGACGAGAAAACATGCATGCTGTAGATAAACATACATGCTTATGAGACCAGTTGCGTGAAAACAGCAACACTGTATGGAAAGATATTCGCTGTTTTCATCCTGTTATTACAAAGTACAGCTTCTTCACATCCAACCTGAGATAAAGTGTTTAACAGTTGCACGGGCCTTGTTCTTCTTTTCCCTTTAGAGACATGTGGAGGACCCTGACACTGTCGCTGCTTGTTGCGCTGGCACTGGGCACAGAGGTGAGTACAAATTATATCAAGATGAATACTGACTTTGTGGATTTATAGTACTTCTGATAAACTGTGTGTACTTCTTTGGATAACGACGCCATCCAGATGTCCCAGAGTCAGGATGTGGGGTCCCTGGTGGCCGTCGAGAAGGCGGAGGAAGAACAGCAACAGAACTTCAGCAACATATCTACTGGGCTGGGAAATGCAAGACGCCAGATCCTGGCCGCTCAGTTTGAGTGCTACCTGAAGATAATCCGTGACCCGCCGCAAACAGAAGAAGGTGAGAGGATTGACGGTTCGGCTCCGACGCACTGCGTTCCAAATGGCTGGTGTTGTGGTGCCTGAATAAAATCGCTCTCTATGCAGATGTAATCACCTCTAGAAATAAATAGTGACCTAATTCTGTTTGCTTTGCTAACATGGGCTCCTATTTTAGAGCAACTCGGATTCCACAGTGATGATGTGATTACAAATGAAGACTCTGAAAACTGACCGTCATGAGGCAAAACAACAAAATAAAAACTGTTTTCAGAAGAATGAATAAAGGCTAATGTCATTAAAGGTTGATGGCAGCCTAAATCCAATTAGACTTATTAGCCAACACCAGAAACGCTGCTGAAAAGCTCAGTGAAGCAGATTTGCGCCGCGGCTGCTGAACAGAGGTGGGCTGGTTAACCAAGTGTACGTTTGCCAAACCAACTGATTTGTTTGTTAAGCTTATTATGGACCTGCTGGTACTCTGTGTGGCTGTTGAGTAGACTCTCACTCGCTATTGTGGCTCTTAATAATTCGTTCTTTTCACCTGCAGAGAGATGAGGACTTTCAAAGCAGACGGCATACACGCACACAGCTCCATTCATACTACAATAGCTGCTATGCATTCCCCCTCATTGAACACAGAAAGACACACACTGGGCTTCCCTGGATGCTTCTAACAGGCTGTGATTTTCTACAGCATATAGCAGCTAGTTACTGATTCGACTGTAGCATGCTGACAGTGTGACTATTCCGGACGGAGCTGTGCAGAGCATAGCACAGACTTTCTAGAGGATTTGATGTGTAAAATCAAAGCAGTCCAACATTGACTACTTCAGTTCCAACTCTTTTAATTATAAAGGTGCGGATGACAGAGAATCTCCTCACAAACATTGGTTTTATCCTAAATAATGCTTTCTGCATCTACGCAAGGGTTCAGGTTCATCATTCGCCCAAGTTGGTGAATGTCTTTGTACACGGAAAGAATGAATTGGCCCTTGGGCCCCCATTTGTCTTCCTAGCTCGTGTGTAGCTGGTGTGTTTGCGATACGGACTTGGGTTGGATAATGAAATGAACATTACGGCCGTGAAATCAACCACTATATTCTATATAGTGCACGATGTAGGGTGTTCACCATTTTGTAGTGCTGGCCGAATGTTAAGTTACAAACATTACACCCTATGTAGTGCACTCTAAATATCCCACAATGCACCGTGAAAAGTGATGTACCGCCGATGGTCACGAACCAAGCAATATGGACCATCATGCATTGCGCGAAAGGAAATACGAATGATATGAATGAGCGTGCGAAAACTTGTCTTTAAAATGTAAGTAATTTCCTGTTTATCCATCCATCCATTATCTATACACCGCTTAATCCTCACTAGGGTCATGGGGGGCTGGAGTCTATCCCAGCTGACTTAGGGCGAAGGCAGGGGACACCCTGGACAGGTTTTGTTAAATTTGATTTTACCCACTTCTTGTAATGTAACAAACAGTTTGCATTACGTTACTACGGCACAAATCGCGGTTAGCAAGCGACGCGATTAATAGCTCGATTAGTGTCTGAAATGTTATTTTGCCGAGGTGCCCCCTTCATAGTTCACTGTATGGTGGTCCCTAGATAGTGAGTAGGGAGTGAGTGGATGATTTTGGGCACGGCCTGCGTGTACCCTTGTGGACATGTGAACGTGGAAAGCATGACTTCGACTGTACCAATGGCTGTGTCGCACCTTCCAGCTTCAGGAGGCAGTAAGGAGCCCTTTGCAGTTTTGTGCACCACTACAAGGTGAAATGAAAGCCGCGTGTTGATAACATTTTTAAAAGCATATACGTATGCATTACTGGTTGTTTTGCCTATCAACCGTCTCCAATGCGTGCACGCTCTTAGAGAAAGAGAGACGGAGGAAGTGAGTCTGAAAGAAAGGAAACTTCGGCCTTTGTCTTTTCCACAGTGCCTGCTGCTCCCATCCACAGCCTTTGAAATGTTATTTTGTGCTCCGTTTCCCAACATGCCACTGTGTGACCTGCTACATCCAGGTTTCCGTCTATTGTTGACGAGCTTTGTGCGGGCCAGCTGTGGTTGGCAGAAGTGTAACACACAGTTTTTATTGGATATATAATTTATACAATTCATACTGTCAGCAGGTTTATTAAAAAAGGTAAAAGTTCCCCGACTCATTGCACAGATGTTACATTTTATATGCTTCATGATAAAACATCGGAGCAAACTTTAGATTTGGAAAAAGTATTTCGCCATTTGCTAAATATGAAAACGCAAAATATAATATGAGCACCAACATCTGCTGCGCTACCGCCTAAGTGATTGATTTAATGATTCTGTTTTGTTTGATTTGAATAGAAGAAGAGTGCGTTGCATGAGCAGGGATCCTGTTAACTTAATGGCTCATCAGACAACAACGCCACCTACCGGGTCTTAAACTTCCACCATGAACTCAAAGCCAAACGGTTTTTGGCATCAGAACTATAAACAGTTCACTGCTAACAGTGTGCTTGGAGGGATTCAGTTCTCTTTTTCGTGTCTTTACCTCCAGCCCTCTACCTGTTTGGGATAACAGGTTAGCATCATGTGTCCTTTAAAAAAACGCATTTGTTTTGAGCTTGTGATTAAAACTCTTGTTGGTGGGACTGTTGTTTTCCACAGACACAGTTGCTCAGATATACACACCTCTAATGTCTTCTGGCTACAAATTCAATGGCTTTTCAACTGCTGCCCTCTGTAGGCACTTACTGTAACCGTACGTGGGATGGATGGCTGTGCTGGGGAGATTCAGCTCCAGGGACTGTCATGCAGATGTGTCCTGAATACTTCCACGACTTTGACCCCGCTGGTGAGGCCTTCACGGACATCCACACACACACAGGCGTACTTATTCAGACATATACTTGGAGTTCAGTGAGCTTTTTTTTCTTCACCAACAATGTAAAATAATTAAACATGTTTCTGTAAATCCTAATGTCTTCAACAGAGAAGGTGACCAAAGTGTGTAATCCTGATGGCCAGTGGTTCCACCACCCAGAGAGCAACAGAGTCTGGTCTAACTACACCCAGTGTCAGGCGTACACTGCAGACAAGCTCAAGGTGAAATATTGTGGAGTCTGGAGCTGTTTTTTTTAATTTTTCAGTTTCTGTTAATTTGATGTCTTTGACTAAATTGGAGGAGTGACATTTACTGGGATCAAGAACATAACACATCAGGCTCTTAGTGGTCATTAAAGTGGACTGATGAATACCAACCAATGGCTCTGAGTGCAGCTGAGGGAAGCGCCATTTGCTTAATGTGCCTGGATTAATGACTATTTATTACAAAACTGGTTTATTTGTACTGAATGTGAGTGCACCTTTTTTGGTCAGGATTTAAAAAAAAAAAAAAAAGAGTAATCTGAACCAACTACAAGAAACAATCCAAGACGGGTTTATGACAGATGCTGATATCTGATAGTCAGACGTTATATGTGCTTGGACAGCTGAGCATAACAACATAAACTGAGAGCAAACCGCAGCCTTGGCTCGCGGACTTATGAATGCCATGAACATAAGAGACTGTGCAGTTCAACCAACCAGCTGGTTCCACTGTGAATTCTCAATTCACTTCAGACTTCTTTATTTAATGCCAAAATCATAATGTGAGGCATTTCTCGGCTCGTTCCTTTTGAGCTTGATGACGGTGGGAAGAAAAACTCCCTTTTAACTGGAAGAAACAGTTGGGGTCAGAGGAGAGTAGAGTAAAGAAGAGATTTATAGTTTTGCAAGTGGGATAAAAGTCTCTGTAGGGTCAAAGCTCAGCATGCATATGAAGTTTTCCTAAACATTTAGCCTACATTAGCCTAACATTATGCTCTGTAGTGTAATTGTATTTTCTAATTTCTTGTTTTGCATTCCCATGTGCTATTTGTTTGTTTGAGGGGTTTTTTTTCATTTACAAGATAATAATAAATATTTAAATTTGCAGACTTAATTGTTGGTGTCTCCACAAAATTCCCAAAACTCAACACGTAACACCAACAACTCTGTCTCACTGGAGATCTTATTTGAATGTGAATGTTTTTGATGCTGACCTCTAGTTTTTATGTACCTCATATTAACTCTCTATACACATGAACATCCACCATATTTGAGAACTGCTCTACTTTGAGCACGGTGACGGTCTCAACCCTGTGCAAATATATTCCTATAGGAGGTGATTGTTCGAGCATGTTTCATCAATTTCAAATTTATTCCATGACACTTAGCCAACAATGATTATTAATTGTGTTCAGATTCAAACTGGTATCACCTTATGGTAACTGCATTACTTCTAAGTCAACCAGTATTTAACCATCTAAATCCATGGTACCAACTCTCCATATATCCACTCAATCCTTCTCGGAAACTGAAGATGCCAGTGTTACACACATGTCTGGGAAGATGATCTCTGTTGGAGGGGTTGTGTTTATTCACGGTGTCGTCTATAAACGTCATCTTCCCAACACCTTTTTATAGTCATGCAGCCCCGTATCGTCGTCACTGTGCTTCACTGTCAGGACGATGCCTTCGCTGTGGACCACTGTAGTGCAGGACTCCATCTGAGCTGGTTAAATCTATGAGGGTCTATAATTAGGCTGGTTGGAAATCACACCTGTACTCCATTTATTTTTAATGATCGTAGGTTCACCAAGTCGTGTGTCAGTGATATATTACCTTTTACTTTATAAACTTCTGTTTTCTTTAAACATTTCGTTTGCTTTCTCCCAACTGTGCTTTTGGAACACTGCACTTAGACTATGCAAACACTGTACCTGCTTTCCTTTGCTGGTTTGAAAACCTTATTATAACGAATAAACATCCATTTCATAATGAAACCTTTGTCCCCTGCAGTTTGCCATCAGTCTCTACTACCTGGCTATGGTGGGTCACGGTCTCTCCATTGCCTCGTTAATCATCTGTCTGATCATCTTCTCCTATTTTAAGTGAGTCAAGTTTTCTGAATGCATCTACAGTCTTTGTATACGCTGTAAATCCTGATTTAACATCTCATGTACACTGCTTGTCTGAAGATCAATTAATATCAACAGTACTAAGCTAAAACAATAGTGTTAAATTCAGCTTTTTACATTTGATAAACTTGTACTTAACCTCATGCTATTCCTTTGCTCTGTCCACCTCTCTTTCTCTGTTCAGGAGTCTCAGCTGCCAAAGAATTTCCCTCCACAAGAACATGTTTCTCTCCTTCATCTTGAACTCCATAGTGACGATAATGTGGCTCTGGCTCAACGTGTCCAATAACCAGGCCATCATTGCCAGAAACCCTGTGAGTCATGAAACAATACTTTATCACCTCCCGTGCTTAAGTTCTCCATGTTAACATAATGGTGTGTTAATATGAATGAATGAATGATGAATGAAATATTTATTTTGAACAAAAAATTAAATTAAAAACAACATAAAAAAACAAGGGGGAAAACTGTACAAATATGAGTTCAAAAAGGGGCAGGAAGAAGAATAAACTTATTAACTCCCACCTCCTTATGACCCTACGATTCATTACAATATTATGACAATTGACTGACTGAATGATTACTATTATTATTGTTGTATAAAATATATGTTATATTGATTTAAAAAAAAAAAAGTGAGCTTTTACAAGATTGAATTTCCCTTCTGGGATAAATAAAGTATTTTTCATTTCATTTCATTTCATTTCATTTCATTACATGTTCCTATATATAATAAATGGATTTAACATAAAATATGCATCAATGTATAATCAATTAGCTGCACCAATGTACAGTATGTAATTGTACCATATACATCATCAATTTCTTTACAATAAATATGTCATTTACTAATAGATTGTTATAAAAATGTACATTACCAATATAAATATATTACAACAGTAGACTACATAAATATGTGTATAGGCCTACATACACACACATACATACACATATGAATAACTAATGGATTTAATATAAAATATACAATATTATATTATATATAACAATATTTAGTCACCCTCATTATGATATATGTGATGCCACTACTAATTAATCATTAACAGCTCTGGAGGTGTACGACTATATACTAATATAATGCTATATCTTTATGGGTTAAAATCTGCTTCTGGTGAATAAAGTCTTAGTGAAGTCTGATGATCTCCTGCCTGTCAGGTGAGCTGTAAGATCCTGGCTGTACTGACTCAGTACACGTCTACTTCCAACTACTTCTGGATGCTGTGCGAAGGCATCTACCTCCACACGCTCATCATCGTGGCCGTCTTCGTCGGGGAACAGCAGCTCTTCTGGTACTACATCCTGGGATGGGGTGAGTCAGGAGAATCACACATTTCGTTGCCATTTCCAGCTCATTTCCTGCGGCGGTTTTAGTGCAAATGACCTCCATCTTGTGGTCATGTTCATATCCGATAGCGTTAAATTGCCAGCTGGGCACATGGCCCGGAGGATTCTATTAATGTCTTCGCAGACGACATCCGAATGTTGTGTGTGTGAGGATGAGCTACACAGCAATTGTACAAATACTTATCGATTCTTACAATATGATATCACCAGACAAATCTGAAGGAGCTGCGTTACAGTTGAAATCTGTGTCTGATGCTGTGATTATGGGTGTCATTCACCCACCAGATGCTAGTAATACACTTAACCTAAAAGAGCGTCATGAGCACCATGCAAAGTGGAAAATTCCCACTTCATCCTCAACAAAGTTTTCCAAAACATACATTTACTTGCAAATGCATCTAAATACATGAAAGCATCTACATTTTTTGGCCCATATGACCGCCTTTGTTACACTAACACCGTGCATTTTCGAACACAAGTCAAAACAGAAATGGACCCTTGAATGCTGCATGTACCTCAGATAAGTGGGCTTTTCGTGTGAAAATCTCATCCAGGCTCTCTGTGGAGCTGCATTCAACCAGCTCTTATGTATTAGTAATGGATTCTTTTAGGTCTCTCGAAGGCTCACATCTTTTTATAGCTGTACAGTAAAGCCCTCCTGTAATGAGCATGTCACATGCCCTATGTGTCACTTTTGCATTTAGCTCATTGATATTTCTGCAGGCGCTGTAGCTGAGAACTGACTTCTCTCTTGAACTGAAAATCTATACAGCAGCTGAGCAAGGGATTGAAAAAAAAAAAAAAGGCTCAATCACTTTCTTGCCAGGAGTTAAGATGAAAAGATCAGTACAACTGTCATATTAACTATGAAGATTGCAAAACCCACCGTACAGCACCTCTAAGACTCAATTATCACCATGCCAGTTCTTTAATCAGTGCAAAAATGAAGGGTGTGTGAGATTACTGTGTCACTCGTCTGTTAAAGTGACACCATTCTGTCATTGATCACTTCATTGTTCCTCACAGCTTCATTCAGACCCACCGCTGTGATGGAGAGAGTCACAGTCTCTTTTTTTATTTTTTCATTCAGATTGTACAGAACATAAAAGCATGTGTGTTACATAGCGATGCACTAATTGTCTGAACAACTAGCAGCTGAGCTAATTTAAGATTTTCTAAACATTGAAAGTTCAGTCATGATAATCTAAGTACTACTTTACCAACAGTAAAATAAGAAAAATCCTGAGTTTTCATTGTGATGGAGCACATAACAAATACTTTTTAGATCCTGTTGACATTTCATCAAACCCAGGATTACATTAAATGTTGGTGAACTTTGTTAAGCTGACCTGCAATCTCTGTCTTTGTTGCAGTAAAGTTCTATTTCTGAGGATACTTCAGTTTGTGTTTCTGTCCTTAGGTTTTCCTGTCGTTCCTGCCATCATTTATGCTGTGGCCCGTGGGCTCTTCTTTAATGACAAGTAAGACGGCTGTTGTTCTTCCTTTGTCACAATTACGAAGCCAGAATCCAGATCAACAGGAGGAATGCTGCGGTATAAGGTCGACTTTAACCTGACTACCGAGCAGGGTGTCTGCTTCCTGCTCTGTTTGATTGCCTTCAGGTTGAAAGGAATTCAGGGACATTGATTTGCCTCATCAGATGGTACATGTGTGAGGCCGTTGTTACGGTGCAGGTGAGAGCTCACGATGATGGTTTGTTTCAGGTGTTGGATCAGCTCACACACTCACCTGCTCTACATCATTCACGGGCCAATTCAAGCTGCACTGCTGGTGAGTGGTTATGTAAAGCGTATGTCGTATGTACACACAACCCTTTATTGGCTCTTTAGTCAAACGTATGTCTACAGTGCCACCGACAGGCAGCTTGTTGTAATTCTTTTGATAAAACTCAGAGATGTGCCTTCCTCTCAAGAGTGTTTCATTCTTTGTTTTCCCACCATCCATCTATCCAGGTGAACTTTTTCTTTCTCCTGAACATCGTCCGGGTTCTGATCACCAAACTGAAGGAGACACACTGCGCTGAGACCACGGCCTACATGAAGGCAGTGAGAGCCACCCTCATCCTCATCCCTCTGCTGGGAGTCCAGTACATCATTTTGCCCTGGAGGCCCGAAGGACGCATCAGCCGGGCCATCTACGATTTCTTTATTAACATCTTCTCCCACTTCCAGGTACAGTCAAAAAAAAATCAAAAAAATCTGAATCATATAAATCAATTATAAATGGCCTTTTTCAACACAGTGGAGAACACCTTACAAAACATTAGGCAAGATAAGACTATAGAAATACCATCATAGTGGAAAATGACATGAGTTGATTGCACTACAGTTTTAACTGGGTACGTTGTTCTGAACATGCAGGTGTGACTTGAACTGTTCAATGCACTCCAGCTGATGAATGTGTAGGTAGTGAGTTCCAAAAAAGCTGATAATGTTGAGTCTAAAGCCCCTTAGGGTGGCTGTGGCTCAGGTAGTAGAGCAAATTGTCTCCTGATTGCAAGGTTGGCAGTTCAATCACATTTCCAAGTGTCCTTGGGCAAGGCATTGAACCCGAAGTTGATCTCAGTGGTCGCCAATGGTGTATGAATGCGCGTGTGAATTGGCGCTTTGAGTCCCACTGAGGTGCTATATAAGTGCAGACCATTTACGACTCACCATAAAATGTGGGACAGACAGCAGAGAAGGGAGTGGAAGGTTTGGGGAGCCATCGAGAGCTTTGGGATGAGCAGTAGAACCTTGTAGCGTATCTTTAGAGCCGATGGAAATTGTGATCAATGTGAAAGATGACGCAGGTGGGAAATAAGCAGTGCAGAGACGGTACCGATGTGGAGGCTAAAGGAAGGTGTGCAGTCCATGATGACACTAAGAGAAATTGTGCACTTTGAGGCGAATTTTGCTTTTATGACCACTGAGTTTGAAGAAGTTGTTCGACATCCAGATATAATAAACAAAAGTGGTCCCAGCTTTGATCCCTGAAGAACACCACGGGTAACTGGGGCTGATTCAGACTAAACATGCTCTGCTTGTGGTGCCCCAGTAGCTCAACAGGTTGAGCGGGCGACCTATGAAGAGGGGCTATAGTCCTGAACACAGTGGCCATCGGTTCGAATCTGGCTTACAGTAATTGCTCTATACTTTCCTGTCTTCCTCTTGCACTTAAAAAAAAATATAGATTAATTTGAGTCTGAACACAGTGTTGCGGCTAACCAGCAACACAGATGTATAAAATGCCACAAATTCCTCCAGTGAAGTTAACTATTATCACTTCTACACTTAAGAGCATCAGACTTCTCCATTCTTTTCCAAAAACAGGAGATGTTTGACAAAAAGGCATTTCTTTTTGATAAGTTCCGTTGCACCCCAACATCAAACTAGCACTATATTCTTGCAAGAAAGCACGAAAGAACCACTTTGTTCCCTTGAAACTTCAACTGCAACCAGAGAGAAAGAAGCTATACCTCATCCACTCCATGTTTTCAAATAGGACAGAGAGGTGTTCTTGATTAATTTACATTCAATATTTATGGAATAACCTCGCTGACATCTGTTTCTGTGTTAATAATTCATGTATGGCTTGATACTTTGCAGGGATTCCTGGTGGCAATCATATTCTGTTTCTGCAATGGTGAGGTACGTTACTGTTTTGACGACACAATACAAGCGGTAATAAAACAATAATGCAAACTGATCTGAATTTACAAATATCAAAAACTGAATAGTTTTTCTCTTTGACTGTGACGTTGCTGTACAGGCCCAAACAGCGCTGCAGAGGAAGTGGGTTCAGTTGAAGTGTGCTTGGGGCAAAGCTAGTTGGGGAGAAACGCCCATCACCAACAACCACTTCAACTACCACACCAACTCGTCCATCACCGAAACCAGCCGCGCCACCATCAGCTTAGAGCAGCCCGCCGCCGCCGCCGTGGTTTTTGAACAGAAAGAAAACTGCAACTTTTTGTCCCTGGTGCAGCAGAAAGCCAACGGGCAGGAAAAGAAAGGCGGCACATGCACCAACGGGGAGGTGGACATGCTCAGCCCCCGGGAGACCACCGACATCTGAGAGGTGACAGTCGCAGCGCAAAACAAACTCAAACACTCACAATAAGGACTGATGATGAGAAAACATCGAGCTTGAAAGTGAATTTAAAAATGAAGGTTAACTGATTGGGTTTTTGTATGTATGTATGTATATAATATCCAAAGAGCACTTAAAAAGCATGTGTTGCTTCACGAGTACAAACACACACATTTTTACAGAAGCAGCTCCAGTTTTTGGACTCATAAGAACCGAGGAGAATCTTCATGTAATAATGTGTTCTGTTCCTTCTTTTAAGTCAACTTATGTAACGCAGTTATAATTTTTGTTGTTGTTGTAGTTTTCATTATGAGTTTCCTGTCAGAATTGAAAAAGCTGCAACTCCCAAACCTGACATTTAAAGATCACAGACATGCGTTTGTGCGATCTGTTGCCTTACGGAGCCTGTAAATGCTTTACCCCAGCACAACAGTGACCAATGAATGTCATAACCCCACCGATTTGATTGCACATGCTCTTTTTAAAGAAAGATAAGATCATCGAAAGCCAGCGAGTTTCACAGCACCCTGACAGAATCAGTCAGATTTAGATCCAGGTTTTTTTTTTAAATGAAATGCAACAGAATTTGCTCTTAGAGGCAATGCACGGTGGCTGGAAGGTCTATAGATTTATATCTATACATCAACTTTACCCTTCCTGAGCTGTTGCAGAAACTCCAGCTTCCATTGATAACCCCTGTGCCAAGTCTGAAGCACTTGCCTGTCTGTTCTTCACAGCTGAATTGTGCAAGAAGCACATCGTGTGGTTCCCAGTTTTAGCTCTGATTATTAGAACTGTGGCTCATTCTTGACCTCCTGATTCCTGCAGCAACTTTAAAGGAACACAATCAGATTTTTCAGTTCCATATTTTTTTTTTTTATTATGTGAAGACATGATGCAGACATACAGATAAATACAGGCGTTACGGCTCGTTTTATGACTGCGTTTATACAGTTAGGCCGATTAGAAATTACTCAATTTTGTTTCAGTGATCACCAGTTTTCTTGTTTCTATGCACAACTGCTTTGTTATAATCAAAGGGGAAAAAGTCTTTTGTAGAATGACATGAGTTTTATTGTAATACAACAGGAGATCTTAATCTTAAGCTTCAACACACTGAAAGCAAAGTGATTGTTAGGATGAGACAAGGCTACAGAATTCCATTTTTGTCAAATGAAGATTTTGCAGACAGAACAAGATTGTGGCAAATTGCTGTCCAAATTGTTAGAAATAATTGCCTTTTCTATCTCTTAATTAACTCCTCCTCCGGTCTACTACGTGGGAAGGAGACAGTTTAAAAGATTTGTTGTGTCTTTGTCGCTGGTGTTCCTGTTGCTTTTTAACGTTCTGTGTTATTGTTGTGGATATTTTTCACATGTTTAACGACTTGTATTATTGTTATGACATGTTTTTTTTTTTTCTCTTCAAAATGCACAAATAGATTTCACTGCTTCTTCACAGAGATATAATTTAGCTTCTTTTTTTTTTTTCCCATTGCACATGTACCGTGTTGTGCGTATACTGGCAGGCTACAGAATACTGAGTCTTATTTTTTTCTTTTTTGAAAGTGAGCTATGAGCAGATGTGTTTTGGTGTTTGTCCCATGATGCATCCACTCACAGCGGACTTAAAATCCAAAATGTTCCAGCGTGGACATGGCGGGGTACACTGGTGCATGGTGAATAAAACACTGCTGTGCTATGAAAACAGCTGAGTATGAGATTGTGAAAGAGCAGTATTTTTCAATTCATTCTGCGTAGGATGCTGCCCAGTAGAGAAGCAGCTGTCGTGGACATATTTGTAAATGAAATTTGAGAAACATTCCAATAAAACATCCAAAAAAAAAAGAAAAAAAAGTTGAATTGAAGCATATTGCTGTATTTATATTTTTAACACTGCCATTTACGCATGGAAATAAAGTTGTTTGAAGATAATCGTGTAGCATTATGCGTGAGATTTATTTAACAGTGGAGCGATTTAATCTGTAGCACACACTGTGAGGCTTTATTGCAGCTGCGTCTATCCACAGGATGCTGGTGTTGTTGTTCTTTTTACTTGCAAACTACTTTGTAGACAGATTTTCATGTGTTTGTTAATTTTATATGATGCCTTGTTTCGATGAACCTACCCAGCATTTTATAGTGCCTAAAATAAATAGTTAAAAATAAGCTTTAAGTTACATGTAATGCATGCCATGTGCTGTATATAACGTCTGATTGATTGATTGAATGATAGATATTGCTATAAGTAAAGAGTCTGAGCAGAGGTGTTGTTGTGCTCTTGACACAGTGGGGGCTTAGTGCAGGCCACAAATCATTAGATTTTAACATTATTATTGTCTGAGTAAAATGAATATACTGTGCTCTTGGCAAAGTGAGATCATCACACTTTCTATCTACACTCAGCTTCACATTGGTGTGACAGTGAGATTTACATTGCTAGATACTGAAGATGTGCCTCGGAAATGCTCCTTATGTATGTAGTTAGCATCTATGCACAACATAATTCTGCAAATGTCCTCTTGTGAGACGTTTATGAGCAGTCAAACAATATCCCAACATTATTTTACGCTAGAGGGCTTTGACACATAATCAGAATACCAGATGACTACTACTACTCCTACTAATAATAATAACTTTATTTGTATAGCACCTTTAAGAACAACAATTCACAAAGTGCTTTGGCAGGTAGAACATAAAATACAGGTGAAATATCAGGCAGGACAGGACGAACACAGGTACAAACATCATAATAAATCAAAAGGGGCATGCAAACACACGTAAATACACACCGTAAAAAAATGAAAATATACAGAATGGATAGCTAGTTTAAAAACTGCTTAAAAGGACGACATCACACAAGAGGGTTACAAGAGAAGCTGAAGAGAAAATCAAAGATAAAAAAAAAAAAACAGATTAAGATCAGGAGGTTAGAGAGAGGGACGACAAGCAGTAAAAAATTTAGAGAGTGATGAAAGAGAAAGAAAAGAGAACTTTACTTGGAGATAAAAGTGGGTTTTAAGAGGTGATTTAAAGGAAGTTACTGATTCAGCGAGCCTTATCTCCTCAGGCAGGTTGTTCCAAAGCCGAGGGGCCCTGACAGAGGAGGCCAGGTCATACTTGGATTTAAGGATGGATTCTGGGATGTCTACTGTTGTCTGACTATCTTCTCTGCAGTTGCATGTGGTTAATACTGGGTTTGGCGCTTATACTGGGATAACACACATCTCTGACACCAAAACGGTGCTTAGATATTCTAGCATGGAGAGGAAAAGGACGAGGTCCCACCGAGATTTGAACTCGGATCGCTGGATTCAAAGTCCAGAGTGCTAACCATTACACCATGGGACCGGATGGTACCGCCTTCCTCCCTCATCGGCCTATGAAGCGTCAGAAATTCTTCCGTTTTGGCGTCGCTGTATAACATTTTTACATCTTAAATACCGGAAAATTGATCTGTAGTAGCGCTAGAGGACACCCATTCATCTCGGCAGTGGAATTAACAAGCTGACGTTGGCTAATGTGTGTCCCGTTGGCCGCAGTGACGCTCCGAGGGAAGAGAAAACAAAAAACACTGAGGAGATGATGCTGAGGTTGATTAATTTAACCTGTTTGGCTCTCAGCTGTTTTTCATGCCGAAAAAACAACAACAAAAAAAAACAAACAAAAAAACTCTTTGTGGCAAAACAGCTAAGGTAAGAGACATTTTACAACTACAGTTTGATGAAGCGATTCCGGTTTTTGCTGTTCTTTGGGTTATTTCTCGCTGATGCTTTGATTTCAGAGAGCTTTGATGGACTTTGTCTGGAATCTGTGGACTGTTTGCTTTCGTTTGAGGGGTTGTTGGTGCGTTTTGCATAAAGTATAAACCTATCACGCATGCGCAAACAAGTAACTTCAAATATATATCGGTTCCATATATCGGTTACCAACCCACTCGATTACCAAACAAACAAACAAACAAACAAAAACTAAATTGGCCCTAAAAAACCCCAAATTCTACTAACCCCCACCTCCCTCTACCCCCTTCCCCATCCCTAATAAAAAAGAAATTAAACTAAATAAAAAAACAAATTAAAAAAATTTAATTTAAATTTAAAAAAAAGATTAGATTTAAAAAAAACCCAAAAAACTCCTTCCTTTTAGTACAGTATATCACAAACACTACTGTGCAGAATGTTAAGTGAGCCATCGAGTGGTGGAGAATGTGCAGTGAAATGTTTGAAACTGGATTACTTCACCAGGATATCTGACTTGGCAAGTGCTCCTGTTTGGGTCAAACTGTAAATTGTGGGTTGGACACAGCAGAAAGTATCATGTCTTTGTAGTCAGTCAGGCCTGATTACTCCTCTACCTAATGGCATCTGCATAGCACTTTGAAAAGAAGACTCTGTGTATATCCATTTGTCCTCATCCTCCCTTTCCCATCCTCCTGAATATGCACACCAGCGTGGATGCATGAGAGCTGATTTGCTTTATTCCTCCGAGAGCCAAACAATGAGGAGTTTGAAAGCTCTCTGTGGTTCTGTCTGGATTCCTTTAGATCAGGGGTGTCCAATGCTGATCCTCGAGGGCCACAGTCCTGCATGTTTTAGATGTTTCCCTCTTCCAACACACCTGATTGAAATGATCAGGATCGTTATCAGGCTTCTGCAGAGCTTGATGATGAGCTGAAGCTATGGTTTTATGGTTAATATAAACACACTCTAACCTTAAAGAAGTAAACAAAAACTGTAAAATAGGCTGATATTACCCAGTCATCATCTAATTATTATTTTATTCGGCTTGATGTTAAATATCTCTTGGTCACATGAAATAGTCACTTAAATTTCCTGGAAAGCAGCACCTCGTCACTCAGGTCATGCTGCCCAGCTGGGCGTTGCATTCAAACGATCAGGATTTCTCTACAATCTCACTTTCTCCTCGCGCTAATAGCCAATTTGTTGCAGCCGTCTGACTCTTTGCTACTCTGCTGCAAAAAGAAATCCCTCACATTAGGGAATGATAGAATCCAATGGGACCTTAAAGTTGCTTTTTCAGTCTTCCCTGCATATTGTTTTCCTTCCAGACTGCTGTCCGTGGGGCTGATCACCCCTGACCCTAAAGTTTGGGTAAAAATGAGCCGACCAGAGAATTCACCATTCGCTGTTTTGTGTGTCTTTGCTTCTTTTCTTTTCTTTTTTTCCTGTATAGTTTTGTGAGTTTCAGTCCCTCTCTGTTGATGTAAACCTCATCTGTAGCAGTGGGGAGGTTAACCTACAATGAAGCACACAGCAGCACGTCTGTGTGACTCGATGCCAAGAATTTTATTCCGATTATTCTTTTCACCTTCAGTGTCTTAACTAATGTAATAATCTTCCCTGATTTAATATATGAGAGCNTCCCTAATAAAAAAGAAATTAAACTAAATAAAAAACAAATACAAAATTTGAATTTAAATTAAAAAAAGATTAGATTAAAAAAAAGAAAAAAATTCCTTCCTTTTAGTACAGTATATTACAAACACTACCATGCAGAATGTTACGTGAGCCATCGAGTGGTGGAGAATGTGCAGTGAAATGTTTGAAACTGGATTACTTCACCAGGATATCCGCTGTAAATTGTGGGTTGGACACAGCAGAAAGTATCATGTCTTTGTAGTCAGTCAGGCCTGATTACTCCTGGACCTAATGGCACCTGCATAGCACTTTGAAAGGAAGACTCTGTGTATATCCATTTGTCTTCATCCTCCCTTTACCCTCCTCCTGAATATGCACACCAGCGTGGATGCATGAAAGCTGATTTGCTTTATTCCTCCGAGAGCCAAACAATGAGGAGTTTGAAAGCTCTCTGTGGTTCTGTCTGGGTTCCTTTAGATCAGGGGTGTCCAGTCCTGGTCCTCGAGGGCCACAATCCTGAATGTTTTAGATGTGTCCCTCTTCCAACACACCTGATTCAAATGATCAGGATCGTTATCAGGCTTCTGCAGAGCTTGATGATGAGCTGAAACTATGGTTTTATGGTTTATATAAACACACTCTAGCCTTAAAGAAGTAAACAAAAACTGTAAAATAGGTTGATATTACCCAGTCATCATATAATTATGACACTTTTTTTTTATTCGGCTTGGTGTTAAATATCCCTTGGTCACATGAAATAGTCACTTAAACTTCCTGGAAAGCAGCACAGCTTCACTCAGGTCATGCTGCCCGGCTGGGTGTTGCATTCAAACGAACAAAGACATCAGGATTTCTCTACAATCTCACTTTCTCCTCACGCTAATAGCCAATTTGTTGTAGCCGTCTGACTCTTTGCTAGAGTTTTCAGTCTTTCCTCCATATTGTTTTCCTTCCAGACTGCTGTCTGTGGTGCTGATCACCCCTGACCCTAATGTTTGGGTAAAAATGAGCCCACCAGAGAATTCACCATGAGCTGTTTTGTGTGTCTTTCCTTTTTTCCTCTTTTTTTAAATATATAGTTTTGTGAGTTTCAGTCCCTTTTTGTTGACGTAAACCTCATTTGTGGCAGTGGGGGTTTAACCTACAATGAAGCACACAGCACGTCTATGTGACTCGATGCCAAGAATTTTATTCCGATTATTCTTTTCACCTTCAGTGTCTTAACTAATGTAATAATCTTCCCTGATTTAATATATGAGAGCGGACAAGAAACCAGGGCCTGCCTCTGTTTTCTTTCCTCAGCCGGGGAACCATCTGTTTAAAGACTTTCCCTCCTGGAGAAGTTGAATCTCAGTAATCATCGAGATCCCTTTAAAGCTCGGAGGTTTATGTTCCAGAATTATGATCTTACCCAACAAGCCGAGCTTCTCACCAGAAATTCTTCGTCATACTTTAACTATCCAGTGAATAACTCTGACCTTAAGCACGGTTGTTGCTTGTATTTTAATTGCTCTGATTGATTTGCAAAATTTCCAAGTAACAGCAACATAAGATACG